GGCTTTCGTATGAACCGTTCAATTTAGCCCCCCCCTTAAATTGATACTATCAATAATACGCTGGCTTCTGGCCCTGGGCTGCCTCCCTGCTAAAAGCAAGACTAAACTCAAGCTCTGCTACGCGAGCTTCCGTGATTTCATACGGTAAGCTGCTGACGCCACCGTCGCTTAGAGCTTTGTGGACATCTTCGAAAAAGTCGGATGTCAGCCTTAGGTCTTGGATGAGGCTCGAAGCACATATGCCCCAGGCATAGGGATAGCACTGGCAGTGCATGGCAGCGCGGTGTCCCGACACTGTAGGTTCGTCTCGGAGCGGGACAGGTGCAGCTCGGATTCTGCCTCGTCACAGTTCGCCTGAGCTGAGCTGAGGATTTCCGGTGTGGTCCTTCCCATCGCCAGTTCTGATCTGCAGGCAAAAGACATTTCCTTAGCCGCAAGGAGATTGGCAGCCAAGGATAACCGAGAGACCACTGCCAAAGCTCGAACGTCAAACGTCATCAAACCACATCTGGAGCTTCCATCCCGCCCTGTCCCAGATCTACTCGTACGTGGTAAGCAAAACTTCGGCGCTGTTTTCAGAGGCAAGAGGAAAAAGATCGAAGCCGAAAGGCCACAGCCTAGAGCTCGTCAGTGCCATGTCAGCCGCCCTTCGGTGACTTGAGTGTTTACAAACCTATAAACAAAGAGAATGTTCGGCCGCGTCGCGAGTGGTCTGCGGAGGCTCGGGGAAGTTTACCTGAGGTAATGTTGCTAATAATATTACATATATCTCCCATGCCTGCATTCTGTAAGCTCGTGACTGCCTAGCCCAGTTGCGCAGACCTTTGCCACGCTCCCCGGAAGCACCCACTCTTTCAGCACAGTGCCAGCATCGCCTTGGGCGGTCGAGCTGGACTGGGCTTGGCTGTGGTCTGCTGCACAACTAAAATCAAGCACGGTAGGATAGATTCCCGTGGAATGCTCTGCCGGCTGAGCTAATTCGGGGGATGCTCAATGTCGACGACCTACTACTGCACGGCCGGGTAGCCAGCAATCACTGCCAAATTGTCGACACTGGCAAAGACGGCCTGGTGGAGTGCGAGCGGTATCTTCCAAATGCATGTCGGAGAGTATGCCCTTTAGTGACAGTCCGCTTCCGACTCGACCCGTGGCTTCTACTGATTCTAGTACCTACACTCTTGGCTACAAGAGGTTGCCGACACCTTCGTCATGATGCTCCAGGCCCGATCATATCGCAGCTCGCCTCTACACGGATGCGATAAAAGGAGCCGCCATACAAATCTGCTATAAGAATCCATTGGGGACTAAGCCGATGCAGCAACCATTCGAGGAAATACTTAGTGACCTGTCTCGATATCCGAGCATGCACGCCTGGCTCCGGTTCCCGCTGTTCCATGTTCTCGCAGCTCTTCACGTTTCCCGGCGTGGTGGTTTCAGCGCTTGCTTGCATGTTGATGCCACAAAAAGCCTCACGACTCCAAGACAGATAAGGCGCTCGCGACCCAATTGGCGCGTCCGGCATCTGCCTGAGCCTGTGCCACCACCCAGTCTCCGGTGCCAGAGCAGACCTGCACCCGAGGTTTTGAACATGCCATCTTGAGCATTCTTGAACCATCTTATTAACAAGTAATGCAAATCGCAGTTCATGCCAAAGTTGGAGTTTCCAGTCTTTGAATGCCTTTGATCGATGCCCGTCCCGTTGCAAATCTCACACTCAACTCTCGCAGCCAGAACCAGAAGCTGACTCAACACGTTGACTTCGAATTTTCCGGAATTCCGAATGCCCCACTTCTAGTGAGAAAAATGGGAAGTCTTGAAACTTCTGCCCAACCTGCAGCCAGCCCCAAGGCCTGACACTGTCGTCAAGATATACCTTCTAACATCTTCTAACCTTCTATGGGGGCCTCCAGAAGTGTTGGCCTCTTTGAGCCGAAGAGGCGGTTCCATCGGAGCCGTCCACCACGAAGAGAGCGGGCTAGCTGGGTTTGGAAGTCCTGTGCTTTCCAAGGGCTGGCAGTCTGCACTCGTCGGCAGATCCACGATCTGCAGTTGCGCTGTACTGGTGTGGAGCAGCTTGCATGAGGAATCACGAAAAATGTCCTCCTCGCTGCATAGCCCCCGCTCAAAGCACTGTGGCAAACCAAATCCTCGTCGAAGTGCCTGGACAAGGGATGCTGGGATCCGGGTGCCTACTTCCAGCAACTCCTCCTGAAGCAAAGCTCACAGCTTCAAACCCAAAGGGAAGCGGCGGAAGTGCATAGCTAGCTTGTCAAAGGCTTTCGATTGCTCGCCTCGAAGGGCGTAACAACGCCTGCAGCGGAATTTCGTCCCTGGCGCTGTGAAGGAGCCGCCAGGAGGCGGCGGAAAAATGCGACGAGGTCAAAGGGCGCGGCCTTGTTGGGCTGGGCTTTGTTTAAGCTTTGCCTTCCTTGGAAGCTTCTCAGATCTCAGGATTGAAACAGCTTGGTAAACTAATTTTTTAACATGTTGTATCTCAGCGTGTTGCCGGCTCTGGTTCACACGGGACATTATTGGCTCGGACATTCCCACAGTACTCGCAGATTCATAATTAGAATCTCACACTCACACCAGACAGATGAAATTATCGGCTCGCAGCAGTTCGTTGTGCCACGAAGTTTAGTCGAACACGAACAAGACGCACGTACAGTAAATAACACAACGACCTGTGCGGCAAAAGGCATGTGTACCTACACACGAATTGTTGAGTTTGTTTGAAGGCTTCTTGAATTTTGACTTACGCTTTCGTTTTTGTTTGCAAAAGCTTTGGTGCGGGCTTCCTGGAGTTTGAGGGGTTTGTCAGGGCCTTTTGATGGTGTAGTGAGGAGCAGGAACTTGTGAAGTCTTTTGGGAGGGCCTTAACTCAAACTCAACAGGAGGCGGTTCTTTTCTGTGGCAGTCGAACCAACCGATGTCTGCGACCCATGGTGGAGAATGCGCACTGCACAGCACTCCCTTCCTCTCTGCCAGCCTTTTCATCAAGCGGTAGATGCGAAAGCTTGTCTTTTCTTGCTACCAGACAGTTTGGTGCGATGCGATACTTGTGCGGCCACGATTGCGCAAAGAATGTAGAGCTTGCATGTAGGCAGCTTGCCTTCGTTGGGATCCACGTTCCTAGCCAAAGGGAGAACTCGATATCCCTCGTCTTTGGCCTTCTTGTGGCTTGCGTCGGCGACGGATCAGTTCTGTCTAGGGTTTCTTCTCTTTTCACGAGGCAGACAACTTGCTGCACAAAGGTGCTTTTGGCCTTTTGCCCACGACCGTATGTCGGACATGCGTTCACGGTTTTTCGCGACAGTGACAAATACCCGACGCGGCAGTCTTTGTCAGGCTTCGAAGTTTGAGCACTAGCGTCACTAGCATAGACTTTTCCGGTCCCTCTGGATTGCGAACTCCCGTCGTGACTGCAGTCCTGTAGGACTGAGCAGTGTACACCCCGCGACCATTGAGGCTCCCAACCCTTCACAGCACGCTTTGCAGCCCCCAACCCTTCACAAGAACCTCCAATGTGCTGCCCCGCTTTCTTCCCAAGGACAACCTATGCCGTGGTCAAACAAAGTTATTCGAATCTGCGCATCGATGAAAAGACATGATACGGGGAGATTCTGACAATTCGTTCATGCAGACTGTGAAGACATCTGCAGCCGAGCACAGGTTCGAGTGTCTTTCAGGGAGGGTTCCTGAACAATTGGGGGACTGGGGTGATTTTTGCTTCCACAGGCGGACGAGGTAAAACTGCGACATCCTCAGACTCTCCCGATCTCCCGGAGCTGCTGTCCCTTGCGAATCGATGCTCGCCTCGATACAATGAAGAAACCAACAGTTCTTGTCGCTTCTTTTCCTTAGCAGGCCCATCGACCCGATTCCTGCATGGTGCGGGAATCGGCCTGTCTGGTCGTCCACTGGGCCTAGTCGTCCACGACTTCAGCTCGAGCCTGACCCACCGAACCGACGCGAGCTAAAGCGAGTAGAATAACAAAACCCTCCTCAACACCAAACCCTCAAACCTTGCACAAATCTACACACGCTCACCTACTCACGATAGATGAAGTTTCAACTCGACAAGGGTCGCACTCGGTGCTCTCTTCTTCCTCCATCTGCTTTCCCGTATATCTGTTTCTCTGTCGCTCTCTGTATATCTCTCTCTCCTCTTGCCTTGATGGCCTTCTTCAGGGAAGCCACCTGGCGGCATGCGCATGACCAGGCTCGCTAGAAGAGGACCACGGAAGCATCTGCTTCCGAAAACCAGCACACCAACACCCGAAGCGCCTCTCGCTGCAGCTCCTGTCGGCGCAAGCGGTCGAACTCGGCTTGTGCTGTAAGCCTTGGAATTCGGCACATTGTTCTCTTGAGTTCAAGACCGGGGCAGGATGCAGTTTTCAGGCATTTGCGTACACACGCAAGCACTTGGCTTCGCAATGAGGATCAGAGAGCCAACAGCGATGCATAAAACAGGCAAAGCGCCTGAAGTGACGCTTGATACACACTTGTACTTTTGTCTGATTCTGCGCTGCGCTGTTCGAAAGAACCCAACTCAAGGCCCTCTCTGCAAAGGGCCTGCGGCGCCTCTAGACTCTAGTGCAGACGCCTGGGCCGAGAACTCAATCCTCACACGTGGAAGTTGCCGGGCGGCTCCGCGGCAAGGGCATTTCCAGCTCGCTCGAGGGCTTTCCCAGCTGCCTGACAGCTTCTCGTCTTGCACGCTGTCTTTCCGAAAAGGAATTCTCCGGTAGGTGTGGCTTGAGTTTATAGGAATCTAAAATAGGACATGGGGCATTCCAATCGTATGTAGGGAGGGAGGGAGGGAGGGAGGGGGAGTCGATTCCACATTCCACATGTCGAGGCGATGCGACCGCAAACCACCGTCTGCAAACGAAAACTCATATCCTTCTGTCCTGCCTTTCGCGCACCGAGGAGACAGGCTACTTGAGCAATGGCACAGTTGAGCCTGGGGTCTCGAAGCATCTCACATGAAAGCCACATGTGCCGCTCAGCAGTTGTGGCAAAGTTCATGTAATCAAACTTGCTAACGTGCGATGCTGATGCGGGCTACCTGGCACCAAAAGCCGGAAACGTGGGTTGCAAGCAAGCTTCCCGGCGGCATTGTCGAGCCTTTGTAATCTCTGCAAACTGTGCAGGGGCAAGTTCAGGAATGCACGCAGTCGGGCTAAGCAAGATTCGCTCAAGGAGGGCAGGAGTCAAAGAGCTCGGTGTCGAAGGAAATGCAATGCTCGAGGCAGGCCGCTGCTCCAGCGAGGACTCCTTGCTCTCGGTCTCCTTCCTCAGACTGACTTTTCAATCGAGGAGGGACTTGGACTTCGAAGACATCGGGAATTAACGACATCATAGGCACATGACCTAAAGCCTGTCTCTTCTCTGCCCAGCCCTACCAGCCAAAGGGCCACAGTCGCTGAAGGGGCTTCAGCCGGAGACCTTGTGCCAGGATCTGGCCCCAGATCCTTGGGTACCAGTTCTTCCGCTCGTCTCAACTGCCACCAGCTCGAAGCCATGTTCCGGGCCGACACCACAAGGCTACATAAGGCAAAGCAAAGCTTGCTAACACTCGTGACAATCAGTGCTCTTTACTGTACCCTTGAATGGCCAAAAGGAGAGCTGAATTGACATGACGTCGTGAAGCACGGATCCGTGTTGGTACTCAGTCTAGCAGGCTACGAGTATGGCAAAACTGCACCCTCCGAGGTCAAAAGGATGCGCTGAACACTGCTCGGTGCCCCGGACAGGAGGGATCTTGTGCGACGTTGGTTTCATGTCTTGTCCATTCTCTGTGATGCCGCTCGCAGTGTCTTGGCTGAGCGCTTGCGCAGGGTCTTCATCCCGACCGGCACTATACCAGCGTAAGGCATTCTTGGCTCGTCGTGTTACACGAAGATGAAAACAGCTCCCTATTAACCTTGTGCCCTGGGTTTGGGTACGTCTGCGTGCCTACAAGTAGTAAACAGAGCAAGGAATCAAAATTGGTTTTCGAGCACCTCAGACTCAACGTAGATTTCAGAAACATCGGCCAGGACCAGGCTGCCCAGCGTCTTCACCGTTGCCGCATCTGGCTCGATGGACCACTGCGGGAGCTGGGCATAGAATTCCTAAGCCACGCTGATTACGTCCACTGTGGTCACTGCAAGTCCACGAAATCCAGCAACTGACGAGACCAGGCCTCACCATGTCTCGGTAATACTCCGGCAGACCGAGCTGATATCAATGAGATTTCTAAGAAATGGCAGGGACTCTAAATGCCTACTTGCAAAAACACTCACCTTTCTGGATACCAACTTCCAATCCAAGGGCTTCTGCATCCGGCAGCACTCCGAGCTTGAGGCAGCCTCGCAAAAACCTCACGCTGCACACAGCTTCCACGCAAGCTCCAGGAATGACTCCGGTGGGCTTCAAGGCTGATTGGCTGCTCCATGCAAGCAGACTTGGAGCAGTGGCTACATTCAATTTTTCTGGTCGAATCTACGCAAGGCTGACATTCTGGACCTGTGCCAAACTGCGAGTCCTGAAACGTCTGAAGTTACAAGAAGCGTGTTGGCCGCACGTATGTCCGGGTAGACAGGTGGTGAAGCCTGCCGAGCAGAGGACGAGGCAAGCATACGATGCAATCATTGCTTGCAGCGTAAAAATTGCGACTCCAAGTGTCTAACCCAAGTTTGCGTGCTCAACTGCGGAGCTACTGTGGCCTTGCGTGACGCCGCAAAGAACTAATTACATGGGTTCTGCCTGGCTCATGGTCTCCAGCACTGCCTTGCTAGCATCCACATCGCCGGCGTTGAGGTGCCCCTTCAGCAGAGTGGTGTACCTCGATGAGTTGGAAACGAGCAGTAACTTGTAGAAATCGCCTGCTTTACATGGTTTGGCCGAAACTGCACCAGAAAATGCTGCGTCTGGCATTAGCTAGAGGATACTCGCACTACACAAGGCAGAGAAATGAAAACACACGCAAAGAAATAAGAAAACAACAAGCAAGCAAGCAAGCAAGCAAGCAAGCAAGCAAGCAAGCAAGCAAGCAAGCAAGCAAGCAAGCAAGCAAGCAAGCAAGCAAGCAAGCAAGCAAGCATTGAACATAAGTGGCCTTGGGTTTGCTTTGCTGTCAGCACGCCAACAAGCAAGGAAGGACGCAAACACATACACACATGCGCCAACACCCGCACACACACAAAGACACGCACAAACTTACATACATACGTATATATATATATATATAGGTAGATAGATAACAGCACTACACTATATTGTACATAGCTCACAGGCCCCCCCCACAGACTGCGGCACACCTACGGTGTGTTCCTGGCAGGGTGACTCGGCCAACAACCCCCACGCAAAAGCACATCAATTGCACTAATCTTAAACTTATCGTATGTAAGTAGCCAGATCGTCTTGTTATCTATGAACAATCAAAAACACGATGGACTCAGGATGCATGCGCCAGACGTGCGCACAAGTGAGCGTAGCGCCGATGACGACGAATAGCGAAGCCAAAACAGACCGCAGTTATCAGGCCCAGATGGTGAAGGAGAGTTTCGATGTGCATTGATTGACCATTCGCTGATGAGAAATGCTGATTAAAGCATGTTCGTGATGCAGCCACGGCGCGACAGCGCCGGTTGGCGGATACGAGTAACTAAATACATTGATATTAATACTAACATTGATATTAAGACTGGCATGACTAATAACAGTAGCAGTAGTACTCCCACGAATACTAATATCATATTCATACTTTCATTAGCACTTGTACTAATGCCAAACTAACCCTACTACTAAGATTCACATCCCTACTAGTATTAGTATTCATATCTATATTCGTCTTAATACAAGTCTGAAAATAAATACTACTAAAAAACTGTTATTATGTTAGACTGAATACTAATACTCCTACTAGCACGAACACTACTAGTAACAGTGATACTAGAACTAATATTCATATGAATATTAATGCTAATGCTAACTCGAATACGAAACTCGAGTAATACTAGTACAAATATTCCTGCGAATGCACATCATCACATCAATAGTAGTACTAATGCTGATACGACTACGAATACTAATGCCAATGCTTATGCTATTGTCAATCGTAATAAAGTATTAATACTCCTACATTTACGAATACGCATACTCGTATGGTTGTTGAAAATAACAATACTAACCTAACACTAATACGAATACTGACATTTATAATTTGTTAAATACTCAAGATAATACTAGTATTGAAACTAATAGTAGCACTTATATAAAGGCTATGACGAATAATATGCATAATACTAATACTACTATTAACAGTAATACTCCTACAATGCCAATTGTCATATTCATATTGATGTTGATATCAAAACTAGTACCAATACTAACACATTAATACATACCCGCATATACTGATGTATATAAATATATACATACCTTTATATTAAAATGCAAATATATTAACGCCTTCATGTACTAATTTACTAATATGCACCCATATACCAATTTACTATCACGTTATGAATATACTGACATACTAGTATGCTAATATACTAATATGCGAATACTGTAATATGCAACTATAATGACATGTTAATATACTACTATGCCATTATATTGATATACTTGTAAATGATGCGATTTAATATGAGAATATAGTCGTATACGAACATACGAGTATACTAATATACTGATGTACTAATATACTAATATACCGAATACTAATGTACTCATGCACCCATGCACTACTATATTCATCTACTAATATACAAATACAGAGATATATTACTATACCAATGTATTAATTAATGTATCGATGTGTTAATCTGTTAATATACCGAGCCGATTGCTATACTAATATATCAAATTCTGTCAATATTAATACTAGTAGTAGTGCTTCTGCGAATATTAAAACTGATGCTAAAAAAAGCATCAGGACTGGTACTGATACCTGGTACTAATATCAATACTGACATTGACATTGGCACTAACACTAACACTAACATGAACCCTGACACCAATCTATACTTACTAATATTGGTATCAATACGTATACTAAACACTAATACTAATGCTAATATAAGTACTACCACTAAGCTACTAATACTGATATTCACACTAACACTTCATTTAAGACTGCTACAAACCATAACCGTGCATGGGGCACACATGTCTTACACTCCGCCGCGGTCGGACATGACAATGCTCAGCCGAAAATCTGTACAGACTCATCCCTTCTTATGTGCCCCTCCGGTCGCAGTGGTACTACGGATAGAATTAAGAACAAAACTGAGTCAAGACTAAGATTAGGACTAGGAGCGGTGCAGAACTTGTAGATATTTCCAAAAATTGCCAACAATCTAAAAATTCCAAAATTCCACAAATCCATGCCCTATCTGGCAGAGTCGGTCC